CTTCTTAAAAACTTCCAGAGTTGAAGCATTCACTGCTTCTGGTGGCAAGTAGTTCCACTGGTTAATTGTCCGCACTGTCAGGAAATTTCTCCTTAGTTCTAAGTTGCTTTTCTCCTTGATGAGTTTCCATCCGTTGCTTCTTGTCCTGCCCTCAGGTGCTTTGGAGAATAGCTTGACTCCCTCTTCTTTGGGGCAGCCCCTGAGATACTGGAACACGGCTATCATGTCCCCCCCCTCATCCTTCTCTTCATTAGAATAGAATAGAGCTGGAAGGGACCCTGGAGGTCATCTAGTCCAACTCCCTGCTCAAGCAGGAGACCCTATTCAGACAAATATGTAATATAATCAGAATAGAGCTGGAAGGGACCCGGGAGGTCATCTTGTCCAGCCCCCTGCTCAAGCAGGAGACCCTACGCCATTCCAGACAAATGGTTGTCCAATCTCTTCTTAAAAACCTCCAAGTGATGGAGCACCCACAACTTCCAGTGCATCCAGCTCGTTCCGTGCAAAGCCTGGGCGCCTAACGCCGGTAAGACTCGCACACAGAGCTGCCCCATTGAGGGATGCCCCCGCCCAGCCCCCGTCCGATCCACATTTTCACATTCCTCTTCTTTCTAACGGACGTGAAAACGCGTTTTCCTTCCACCATATTCACCTCCTCGCTTCGAGAGGTAGTCCTCGGCTTACGACCGCAATCCAGCCCGACATTCTTCTTGCGACCATTAAGACGGTTCTCCGGTGTGTCGTGCCCCGTTTCTTGCTAAGTGAATCGCGGCGGTCGTTGAAGTGAGTGAGCTGCGCGGTCGCTAAATGGACCTGGAATCCCCGCTGACTCGGCTTGGCGGACGGGGATCGCTTGACCGTCGTAAATGTGAGTCGGTTGCCGAGCGTCCGAATTTTGATCGCATAACCGCAGGGAGGCTGCGACGGTCGTGAAGTGGGAAAAAAAGGGATGCTGCTTTGAATGGAGCAGGCAGGAAGAGTTTTAAGGGGGTGGTCTCGGGTTGGCAGTTCGCCAGGGAAGCCCACTCCCCAATTTCCCATCTGCCTTTGCTGCCTTTTTCTTGTGCCGAACCCGGTTAGGTGGATGTCGGCGTGATCCAGTCGGTCCCTGGAAACAGAGAATCCAGTTTCCTTCTACAGTGGAATCTGCAAGGCTCAGCCCCTGTTGTGGTTTGGGGGTGGGTGGGTGGGCTTGAGACGAGCAGGGTCTTTTGCCCCTCTTGATCCCAGCAGGACGGTTTGTCCAGGATGGGGGAACTTAAGAGAGCTGAATCAGCAGAAACCATGGTGTGGGAAAGCAAAAACAAAGTTAATAATAATAATAATAATAATAATAATAATAATAATAATAATAGGAACAACAACAATAATAATGGAAGGGACCTTGGAGGTCATCTAGTCCAACCCCCTGCTCAGGCAGGAAACCCTATTCCATTTCAGACAAGTGGCTGTCCAGTCTCTTCTTAAAAACTTCCATTGTTGAAGGAGGGAGGGAGGGAGGGAGGGAGAGAGAGGGAAGGAAGGAAGGAAGGAAGGAGGAAAAAAAAACAGAATAACAGACTTGGAAGGGACCTTGGAGGTCATCTAGTCCAACCCCCTGCTCAGGCAGGAAATCCTATCCCATTTCAAGAGAAGGGACAACCATCTGTCTGAACTGGGATGGGGTCTCCTGCCTAAGCAGGGGGTTGGACTAGATGACCTCCAAGGTCCCTTCCAACTCTATTATCCTGTTATTCCTCCTCCCCCTCCTCCTCTCCTCCTCCTCCTCTTTAAGAAGAGACTGGACCGCCATTTGTCTGAAATGGAACAGGGTCTCCTGCCCGAGCAGGGGGTTGGGCTAGATGACCTCCAAGGCCCCTTCCCGCTCTCTTCATCTGAAGGGCGAGAGGAGGGTGGCCAATCGTGCCCAGAATCTTCCATTTGGGGACGAAGAGCCTTCTCAAGTGAACCTTTTTTCCAGGGTTCCTGGTGGCTTGAAAGCTTTTGGTGTGAATTGCGGGCAGAGATGAGAGAAATTGTAATATTTTTAGGCCTTCAGGGCTGGCAGTGGTCGGCGTTTCACGGCTCCTGCGCTCGCGAACCCAGCGGCATTCCTCGCTAAGGTTTCGGGGAAGGAGGTTTCAAAAATAGAATCTTTTTTCTATTTTTAAGCGACGCTCCAACGCCGTTTGAACATCTCCATCTCGGCCACTTGAAGATGGGCTTGGCTGGCTGGGGAATTCTGGGAGTTGAAGTCCGCCCATCCTCAAGTCGCCAAGCTTAAAAAAAAAAACGGCTTTAACAACTTTAAAAAAATCAAAACAAAGTGAGAATCATTCCTTACTTTTAACTTTAGCCTGAATCCCAGCAAAGCGGCTCCCGAAATGAAACCCGGAATTTGCAAATGTTATTTTTTTTTTTTTAATCAATGCGGTTCTTTGTCGCTTCCAAAAGTGTGTGCGTGTGTGGGGAACACAACTTGCAATCTTCCCCCAAAACATCCTCTGTGAATTTTTGCAGGAAGCCTATCAGTTCTCTTTCTCCAAACACCCAGCAGATGTTTTTCCAAATGTGTTGCTTAATAAGGAATATAATTTTAAGCCGAAGCCCTTTCCTTGGAGAGTGGAATTTTCCTGTACTTTTTTTCCCCCCTTTTTTCTTCTCGTCTCCCCCCTCCCAGGCCAGTTTTTATAACTCGTATATTCTGGGCTGTAGCATCTCTTTATGACTTTACTATTTGGATAGCTTGGGCCTGTCGGCAAGATTTAAGGGGGAATGAACACCGAGCTTGCAAATATTCCCCTGCTAGAAAGCCAGACCTCTCCCCCCCCCCAGGACCCCCCACCACCACCTTTAAGGAGATACGCTCCTGAATTTGGCCAGATAGCACAGAGGACCCTGGCTTAGATGGGAAACTGTGGCTGTTTGGGCTGTTATTTGACCCACTCGTCCCTGAGAACGGAGGGAGAAGCTTTTGCAAAGAAAAAAAGGCAAAACAAGTCAAGCCGGAGATAGTTTTACAAAAACAAGGAAGCAAGCAACCTGTTGTGCTCTGGACAAAATGCAGATTATTTGCTTTTTTTTTTTTTTTTTAAAACTGTCAAGGGAGTTGAGCGGGATGCTCAGAACTGTGGATGGTTTATATTTGGAGTAAGAGGGTACCTCTTTATCTGTCTGACTATGACTATCTCTGTCTATCTACCTACCTGTCTATCTATATCTCCCTATGTCTATTTTTATTACTTATCTAGCTATCTCTATCTCCCTATGTCTATCTCTATTATCTATCTTATCTTATCTATCTATCTATCTATCTATCTATCTATCTATCTATCTATCTATCTATCTCTATTATCTGTCTGTCTCTTTCTATAATCTACCTACCTACCTACCTATCTATATGTCCCTATGTCTATCTTTATTGCTTATCTAGCTATCTCTATCTCCCTATGTCTATCTCTATTCTCTATCTTATCTATCTATGTATCTATCTATGTATCTATCTATCTATCTATCTATCTATCTATCTATCTATCTATCTATCTATCTATGTCTATCTCTATTATCTGTCTGTCTGTGTCTTTCTGTAATCTATCTACCTACCTACCTTTCTATATGTGCCTATGTCTATCTTTATTACTTATCTAGCTATCTCCCTATGTCTATCTCTATTATATATCTATCTATCTATCTATCTATCTATCTATCTATCTATGTCTATCTCTATTATCTATCTGTCTCTGTCTTTCTGTAATCTATTTACCTACCTACCTACCTTTCTATATGTCCCTATGTCTATCTTTATTACTGATCTAGCTATCTCTATCTCCCTATGTCTATATTATCTATCTATCTATCTATCTATCTATCTATCTATCTATCTATCTATCTATCTATCTATGTCTATCTCTATTATCTGTCTGTCTGTGTCTTTCTGTAATCTATCTACCTACCTACCTTTCTATATGTGCCTATGTCTATCTTTATTACTTATCTAGCTATCTCCCTATGTCTATCTCTATTATATATCTATCTATCTATCTATCTATCTATCTATCTATCTATCTATCTATGTCTATCTCTATTATCTATCTGTCTCTGTCTTTCTGTAATCTATTTACCTACCTACCTACCTTTCTATATGTCCCTATGTCTATCTTTATTACTGATCTAGCTATCTCTATCTCCCTATGTCTATATTATCTATCTATCTATCTATCTATCTATCTATGTCTATCTCTATTATCTGTCTGTCTGTGTCTTTCTGTAATCTATCTACCTACCTACCTTTCTATATGTGCCTATGTCTATCTTTATTACTTATCTAGCTATCTCCCTATGTCTATATTATATATCTATCTATCTATCTATCTATCTATCTATCTATGTCTATCTCTATTATCTATCTGTCTCTGTCTTTCTGTAATCTATTTACCTACCTACCTACCTTTCTATATGTCCCTATGTCTATCTTTATTACTGATCTAGCTATCTCTATCTCCCTATGTCTATATTATCTATCTATCTATCTATCTATCTATCTATCTATCTATCTATCTATCTATCTAACTATCTAACTATCTATCTATCATCTATATCTATCTCATATCTCTATCTATCTATCATCTCTATCATATATATATTATCTATCTTTCTCTGTCTATATCTCTGTCTATGATTTATGTATGTCTATATCCTTTATCTGTTTATCTATACCATCTATTATCTATATCTCTATCATATCTATTGCTGTCTGTCTATATTTCTATGTATCCTTTCTATCTTTATCCGTCTATTATCTTTCTCTCTCTCTCTCTCTCTCTCTCTCTCTCTCTCTCTCTCTCTCTTCCATCTCTTTGTGTCTATTATCTATCCATCTATCTCTGTCTGACTATCTTTCAGTCTGTCTACCTGTGTGTCTCTGTGCTGTCTGGCATCTCTTAGATTAATTTGCTGCCTGTCTCCTCCTGTGAATCTGGGCGGTTTACAATAAAGCCATATTTTCTTTTCTTCTGCAGTGGGTCCAGCTCAGCCCCATTGGGAGGAAGCAGCATGAGGAGCAGCGGGTGGCCAGATGCCCACTAGGTCTGCTCAGCTCGTCTAGGTAAGGCAACGTCCATCCTTCGGACATTTTCCCGTCTCTTGCAAAGGTCTGCTCTGGGCAGTGGGAAGGCCTGCCCTGCCCGGCGGGTCAGGACCGCCATTCCCCAGATCCCTCTCCAGGCTGGACCTCCAAGCGGGAGTCCCAGACCTACGTTTTGCAAGGGCCTCCCTCGGCAAGGTCTGGTCTAGCCTACACCGTCTCTATGGAAATGCTGCCCGGTTCCAGGTGGGTTTCCTGTTCCGATCTCCATAGCAACCAGGGCTGTATCTAGGCCAGCCACTCTTTTTCTCCATGGCAACGGTGCCACGATGTAGGCCGGACCCCACATTGAGACCTTGACAACCAACGTCTGCTTGGAAGGCCTCAGTTATGGGGTGTCTTTTCCCTCTTGGCCCCCCCCTTTTTTTTTAGTTTCTCAACGCCTTCCACAATAATTTGCTCAAATCACCTTGATCGAGTTTCCCACCTTTTTTTGGGAAAAAAACCGGGAAGTTTCACCTTGCACCGGGGTTAGGCCGGCTTGGAAGGCATCCGGTTGCCGTGGCAACATCAAGGCCGCCAGGCTTTGGGCCTGTCTTTCTGCCGGAGGGACTACAACTCCCAGCATTCCCGGTCAGGCTGGGCGAGTGCTGCGTAACCCAGCCATCATGAAGGACCCACGTTGGGGGTCCAGCAAGGCTGATGATGGCTTGCAAAGTCGGCTTATTCTCGGTCGACGTCGGCATTTCGAACTGACCTTCCTCCACTGAGGACGGGGATTGGACAGAGATGGCCCAGCAGAGTCTCCGCTGAGCTTTTGGCTCGGTTTCCATAATGGGGATGGAGTCTTCACGAAGGCGAGAACAACCACCTGCCTTTGTTCTCCCCTTCCTCAACTGTCCACTCGGCCACTTGCGTTCTGCAAATTTTAATGCCAGTGAGATGCCTTCAGCCCCCTAAGTGTCAAGGGGGTGAAACATTAAATGCAACCAGAATCGGGCACACATCGGCTCCGGAGGTTGGCGAGGATCCTGCGAGCAAATATTTTACGGTCTCAAACGGGGGTCTCCAAACGTGGCGACTTTTAAGACTCGTGGACTTCAACTCCCAGGATTCTCCAGCCGGCATGCTCATCGTGGCCCCGCTTACTCTCTTATCATCCCTTTCTCTCCAATCTCTCCACTTTAAGGAGAAGACAAAACCAGGCACGGCTGGCTGGGGAATTCTGGGAATTGAAGTCCACCAGACTTAAAAGTCGCCATGTTTGGAGACCCCCCCCCCAAAGGTTTACAACAGGGGTGTCAAACTGCCGGCTTGTGGGCCGGATGCGTCACGCCGAAAACCGCACCCACCTCCTTGCCGGCAATGGGGGAAAAGTCGCGATAGGTCGCGACACGTCGCGTGATGTTGCAAGTTTGACACCCCTGGTCTAAAAGAGAGGAGAAAAAAATTGTGGGAATTGAGTCCAATGTTGGTAGCCGTCGAATTACAAGCATTAATTCGGTTCAACAGCACTGAAAAAAGTAACTTATGACCGTTTTTCACACTCAACGGCTGTCGAAGCATCCCCATGGTCACTATGGCAACCGACTCATATTTACAACGGTTGCAGGGTCCCGGAGGGCGGTCACGTGACCCCCTTTTGCGAGCTTCTGACAAGCCAAGTCAAGGGGGGAAGCCGGATTCACATAACAGACGTGTCACTAACTGAACCCCTGCAGTGATTCACTTAACAGCCGTGGCAAGGAAAGGTCGTTAAATGGGGCAGAACTCACTTTAACAATTAGTAATTTTGGATCCTGTGGGCGGGCAATTAGGGTATTAGGGGCTCCCACCACCCTTTTTTGAATCCTATTGGCCAAAAGCTTTTTGCAAGCGGCTTCTCTCTCTCTCTGTCGGGCTGTCTCTATGCCCATTTTTCAGATGGGGAAAACTGAGGCAGGACCCTGAGAAGCTTCCTTTGAGGGCGCAGCCTCCCTTACCGGCTCAGGCCCGCCCCCCCCCCCCAATCAGCCTGACCTGAAGCCAATTCTCCTAACTGGATTGTTTCTCATCCCAGTGCGCAGAATCGAAAACTTTATTTATCTTTCCTTCGAAGTTCGGAAGGAGATAAATGGAATTTCCCAAGGAGAGTTGCTTCAAGCCAGGGAGGCAAGTTTGGCCAAGGTCGTCTGATGAATCCATGGAGGGGAGCAGAGTTTTTTAAAGGGTGGGAATTAACCTGGCAGCAGTTACTTAATTTTTTTTTTTAATTTATCAAAGCTGCACCCTGCTCCCCATCTCACCAAAGGCAATTTTGCATTGCTGTATTGCTGTGTCTGGTGCCTGCAAGTCCCCCCCCCCCCTGAACAAAGCCACAGTCTCTCCAAATTAGAAAAAAAAAGTAATATTTTTTATTTTGAGAGGTCCAAATTCTCTCTCTCTCTCTCTCTCTCTCTCTCTCTCTCTCTCTTTTTCCCTGTATCTCTTTTTTCTCTCGGTCCCTCTTTCTGTCTCTCTCTTTCTCTCTTTCTATCGTTCTCTTTTTCTGTCTGTTTCTCTTTCTCTGCATCTCTTTCTTTTTCTCTCTTTCTCTCTCTTTTCACTCTCTCTTTTCTTTTTCTCTCATTCCATGTCTCTTTCTTTCTATCATTCTTTCTCTTTCTCTGCATCTTTTTCTATTTCTCTTTTTCTGTCTCTCTCCCTTTCTCTTTCCATTTCTTTCTCTCTTTTCTCTTTCTGTCTCTCTGCCTTTCTTTTTCTCTTTCTTTTTCCCTATATTTTTTTCTCTCATTCCCTCTCTCTGTCTCTCTCTCTCTTCCTATCATTCTCTTTTTCTGTTTCTTTCTCTGCATCTCTTTCTTTCTCTTTTTTCTTTCTCCCTTTTTCTTTCCATTTCTTTCTCTCTCTGTGTCTTTCTTTTTCTTTCTTTTTCCCTCTATCTCTTTTTTTCTGTTTCCTCTCTCTCTTTTTCTCACTCTTTCTATCATTCTGTTTTTCTGTTTCTTTCCCTGCGTCTCTTTCTCTCTTTTTTATCTTTCTGTCTCTCTCTCCCTTCCTCTTTCCATTTCTCTCTCTCTCTCTCTCTCTCTCTCTCTCTCTCTCTCTCTCTCTCTCTCTCTCTCTCTCTCTCTCTCTCTCTCTCTCTCTCTTTCTCTCTCCCTGCCCTAGCAATGTCCTGCTTCTGGCTTTACCATTCGTGCAATTGTTGCACCATTTTCCACATTGGTGCAACAATCAACTGCTTTTCTTCCCCCAGTCTCTTCCCATCCCTGTTGCCGCTCCCCATCCAATCTGCTGACATCAGCCTCCGTGACTCACAAGCCTTATAAAAAAAAAAATCCACTCTCTGCTTTTCTTTTTTTTTTTAAATCGGCTTGGGCCTCACGCCATTCCTCAACGCCCATCCCACCAGCTCTGCCTGCAGCCCGCAGCCAAAATGGGATCCCTGCTTTTGCTTGCCTCCAGTGCCTTCGCGCACACATTGCACAGAGGATGAGTGCATTTTTTTTTTATTTTGCTCTTTCTTTCCCCTCTTCCCTGCAATGGTTCCCCCCCCCTCGTCCATTTTGTAAAACGCGGGGGGGGGGATGAAGTGTGCAGCGTGTGGGGCAAACCCAAAAAAAGGAGATGGGAGTCTTTTGGAGACCACGGAGGGGTCCTCTCTACGCTGGGTGGTTTTCTTGCAGACGTTTCGTGACCCAGCTAGGGAACAGCCTCAGTGCTAGGAGAGGGGGTCTGCAAAGAGGAGGGTCCTGAGTGCTCTCCCAGCTGAGTTGCTTTCTTGCGGACCTTTCATGAGTCAATTAGGCCAGCAGTCCCCAACCCACCCGCTCACCCCCGGTCTGTGGACCAGTACCGGGCCAGCATCCGGTCTGCCCAAACAAGCGAAGCCCTGCAGCACACGAAACCAGGCGCCCCCCGGTCCGTGGAGGGGAAAAAAATCCTCTCTCCACGGAACCGGTAGTCCCTGGTGCCCGAAAGGTTGGGGGCCTCTGGACTAGGCAAGATCATCAGTGCTAGAAGGGAGGGGGGGTCTGTGGGGGGGAAGAGGGAAACGTGGGGTCCCGTGACTCTCTGAGCTGGGTTGTTTTCTTGCAGACCTTTCATGAGCTGACTAGGTAATGAACTCAAGTACCCATGATGTTACCTGGTTTGGTAATGAAAGGTCTACAAGAAAACAAGCCAACTCAGAGAAGGAGCCCACATTCCTCCCCCCCCTTCTTCCTCCTCCTCCTCCACTCCACCTCCTCTTCATCGTCCTCCTCCTTCATTCCACTTCTTCCTCCTCCACTCCTCTTCCTCCTCCTTCCTGTCTTCCTCTTCCTCTTCTTCCTCTTCTTCTTCCTCCTTCATTCCACTTCTTCCTCTTCCACTCCTTTTCCTCCTCCTCCTTCCCGTCTTCCTCTTCCTCTACTTCCTCTTCTTCTTCCTCCTTCATTCCACTTCTTCCTCCTCCACTCCTCTTCCTCCTCCTCCTTCCCTTCTTTCTCCTCCTCTTCCTCTTCTTCCTCTTCTTCTTCCTCCTTCATTCCATTTCTTCCTCTTCCACTCTTCCTCCTTCCCTTCTTCCTCTTCCTTTCCTCCACTCCATCTCCTCTTCTTCCTCCTCCTCTTCCTCCTTCCCCTCCTCCACTCCACCTCCTCTTCCTCCCCCTCTTCTTCTTCCTCCACTCCTCCTCTTCCTTCTCCTCCACTCCACCTCCTCCTCCTCGTCTTCCGCCTTCCCCTCTTCCTCCTCCACTCCTCCTCTTCCTCCTCCTCCACTCCACCTCGTCTTCCTCCTCCTTGTCTTCCTCTTCCTCCTCCTCCTCAACTCCCTTTTAGCACTGATGACATTCCCTAGTTGGGTCATGAAACGTCAGCAAGAAAACCACCCAGCTCAGAGAGCACCAAGGATCCTACAGTCCTTCTCCTCCTCCTCCTCCCTCTTGCACTGATGATGTTCCCTGGTTGGGTCGTGAAACGTCTGCAAGAAAACCCCCCAGCTCGGAGAGCACCAAGGACTCCCACAGTCCTCCTCTCTTCTAGCCCTGATGACGTTCCCTAGCTGGGTCACGAGACGTCTGCAACGAAACCCCTCAACTCAGAGAGCAGGCTGGCCCTTTCGTTTCAACCCCGAATTACGAATATTCTCCTTTATTGCTAGCAGTGGAAAACGGCACGGCTCCCAGAGAGCCCGCAGCCCTGCCAGCTTTCTTTTCGGGCCTTCCCTCGCGAAGGTGGTCTGACATTATGGGAAGAGTGCTGTGTTGGTAGCCAGTCATCCGGAAGAATCCAGTGGCACCTTTGCCGACAGACGCATTTTAGAAAAAAAGGAAGAAGCGTTGGTGAGCTTCTTTTTGAAGTCTGATTAGCTCCCTCAGGGCGTCTGCGGTGTGTCCTTCCCCACTGAACTTAGAGCTTCATGCGTGCTGGGGAAATTGAGTCACGGGGAAATTGAGTCACGGTTAAAACAGCTCCCCGAGCGAGCGACAGGACTACATCTCCCAGCAGCCACTGCACAATGCCCAGGAGAGCGAGGGACGCTGGGAGAGGCGGTTCCCTCTTCTTTACCCAGCCTGGTGCCCGCTAGCAGATATTTATTTATGGCGGTTGAAATCTCACCCGTCTGCGCAGCCAAGTGTCCCTTGCCCGGCGGATCTCCGCAGATCCAGTGTGTCCTTCTGAAAGGGGCATCTGGGAAAAAAAACAACAGCAGGGCCTCAGACCTACAAGTAGAGGGACTTGGTGCCCAGATTTGAGGAGGGGGGGTGTCTCTTGCTATCAGCACCCTCCTGGCAAACACACCAATCCCTGGCACTAAAGCTCCAGGCTGGGGACGGTGGAGGGGTACTCCGGTGTCCCCACATTTGCCTCCTGCCCACTGCCTAGCTTGTCCTCGGCCGCGTTCACTTTGACTGCAGCTTCCCCCCCCCCTCAAATCTCTGTTCCCCTTCCCCCTCCTCTCTCTGCTCCATCCCGGCCTGTTTCCATAGAAACCCCTTTTCCGTTTGGGTACTCCCGTCACTGCCAGGAAGGGGAGTGAGCAAGTGTCTGTGTGTGTGTGTGTGTGTCTGTGTGTGTGTGTGTGAGAGAGAGAGAGAGAGAGAGAGAGAGAGAGAGAGAGAGCCAGATCCACTGCTGGGGGGGGGGGGAGAAGAGAGAGAGAGAGAAGAGAACAGAACATGGCTTCTGGAATGATTTTGATACTGTGCAGTACACCCCTGTCTGTCTTCACTCGCCCCGTGCACACCTGACTTTTCCGGCGTGGCGCAAATAATGCTGGCTTTTGCAAAAACCCGGGTGGGCTAGGATTGCCGCTGGCAAGGGAAGAGGAGCAGGGTCAGGAAAAAGAACGGAGGGTGCCACCACTTTGGCGAGGGGGGAGGGGGGCACGGCTCGCGTGGACCAGAACGGGCAGTGCCAAGTTTTGGCGCGTGAGCAGCCAAATAGGACGAGAGACGAGCCGTTGTGGGTGCCCGAATCAAAAACAGACCGGACTTAGCTCTTCAGCGGAGCTGGCGCTCACCGGAAGTGATGTCTTTCAGCCATCTTAGGCTGCCAGGAAGGGAATTCCTTGCGCAAAAGGGCTCAGGGGGGGGGAAGCAAAGAGTGGAGCAGCCAAACGGCACCTCGCGAAGGAGCGAGCGTTTCTCGAGCGTGCCCGTTTGCAGGGCCAGTCTTGGAACAACAGCAGGGCCTGCGTCTGGGCAACTAGGCTTGCCAAAGTGGGCAACTTCCTGTCACTCCTTCTGCGGCCTTCCCGGATTCCAGGAAGTGCCATCTCAGGAAGCTATTTTAACTCTCGTGGCCCAAAACGGTGTCCCAACAGCCTCCGGTGTGATGTTTCAGCCTCCCTCTCTCAGCCCGCAGCCACCGTCTCCTCCGAGGCGACTGTTTTGGGATCTTCTTTAAGTCACGTTTGTAGGAAGGTGTGGTTTGGCATTTGGCACAACATTTTGTGTTCCTTGTTCCCCCCAGGGGGTGTGAATTTGCACTGGGGGGGCAGCTTTCTTCACCCGAACAGTATTTTTCCACCTTGGCAACTTGAGAACGGGTGGACTTCCGCTCCCAGAATTCCCCAGCCCTCAGATCAGCTTTCGCTTTAATCCAAAGTTTCTCAACCTTGACCATTTTAAGGCATGTGGACTTCAACTCCCAGAATTCCACAGCCAGCATTCTGGGAGTTGAAGTCCACATGCCTTAAAATGGTCACAGTTGAGAAACACTGCGTTTAATTGTCCTGCCGTCCAGTCCACATCTAAGTGGTTTATTTATTCAGCTTGCCAAGCGTTATTTCTTTCACTTGACCGAAAACAAGGTATATTCTATCGACCGCGTTCCCACCACCTATCTAAGAAGTTCCTCCAAATTCAGGGGGAATTCTGGGAGTTGGCCCTCCTGCTTAAAGGGGTTGAGGTCAAGAAAGGCCGTAGTAGCGGCCGGTGAACTCCAAAATCCAGCCCCCCCTCCCCCCGTTTTCTTTTCCAGTTTCCTGATGTCACAACGCCGTTGTCTCTCCTTTTCGCCACAGGTCTGAGGCGGCAGCACAATGGCTTCGGTTGTGGAGCTCACCGACAACAGCCACCCCAATTCCCTTCTGATCCAGCTGAACGAGCAGCGTCTGCGCGGGCAGTTCTGCGACGTCACCATCGTCGCCGAAGACACCAAGTTCAAGGCCCACAAAAATATCCTCGCGGCCTCCAGCCCCTACTTCAAGGAGGTTCTCTCCGAGGACTCGGCGTGTCGCCAGCCGGGCCAGATCCTTGAGCTTCCCGACATCCAGGCCAAAGTCTTCTCGGACATCTTGAACTTCATTTATAATTCTCGGCTCTCCGTGCCCAGTCTGGCCGTGGCCAAGGAGATCGGGCTGGTGGGCCGACGGTTGGGCATCTCCCGCTTAGAGAACCTGGATGATCCCTGGGCAGAGGTCAAGATGGACAGTCCCGGCGGGGCCTCTGCCCACGATTGCGAGTCGCCCATTGACCTCACCTGCCCGTCCCGTTCCATGGAACCCTCCAGCCCTGTTTGCTTGCAGGATTTGACCAAAGTGTACAGCCCCGGGCAGGACACCCGCCCTGACTCTGAAACAGAAACGGCCAAGATCCTCTACACTCTGAGCTCCGTCGCGACCGTGTCCCCTGCTACCCCCTCCGATCTGACGTTCACGGTGAAGGAACCCGTCGCTTGGGACCACAGCCTCTCTGCGACTCCTCCTGCCGCGTCTGCCGACACAAAGGATGGGGCACCGGCGTCGGCCTCTTCTTCCTCGCCCCCCTCCCCGTCTGGGGCTTCCTACCCAGTGAGCAGCACCTTCTGCTGCGGAAGCTGCAGCCGCTCCTTCACGACGTCTTCGGCCCTCAGCCTCCACATGAAGCTGCACCGAACGCGGCGCCCGCTCTCCTGCCGCCACTGCGGCAAAAGCTTCATCCACACCAAGCGGCTGCAGACGCACGAAGTCATATGCAAAGAGGTGGAGACACCCAAGACGGAGGCTCCCGCGGACAAGGCACCGCCCAGCCCAGAGTTACCTTCCAAGCCGACGGTAGCTGCAGCATCTTCCAAAAAGGGCGTGCTTTTCCGCCACCGGGCCCTGCCGCGGGTGGATTATCTCTCCGACCAAGACCACTTTGTCAAAGTGGTCGACGGGCACATCATCTACTTCTGCACCGTCTGCGAGCGGTCCTACATGACCCTTTCCAGCCTCAAGCGCCACTCCAACGTCCATTCCTGGCGCCGCAAGTACCCGTGCCGTTACTGTGACAAAGTTTTCGCCCTGGCGGAATACCGCACCAAGCACGAGGTCTGGCACACCGGGGAACGTCGCTACCAGTGCATCTTCTGCTGGGAGACCTTTGTGACTTACTACAACCTCAAGACTCATCAGAAAGCCTTCCACGGCATTAATCCCGGCCTCATCTCCTCCGAGAAGACCCCCAACGGGGGCTACAAGCCGAAACTGAATGCGCTGAAACTCTACCGCCTGTTACCCATGCGCTCCCAAAAGAGGCCGTACAAGACGTACAGCCAGGCCATGGTGCCGGAGGACCTTCTGCATCCAACTCACGCTGTCCCCATGACGCTGGGTGAGGGGGACTCATTGGACGGAAATTTGGTCTCCTCCCTGAGTACTAGTGACGTGGTTTCAGTGTTCCCCACCAAGAACGCCTCTTTAGAATCGACCGAGGCGGATCGGGACCAGCAGCGGGAAACCACGAGCACTGAGGACACGTCCGTTCTTCCAGCTACTGGTGAGGAGGCCCAGCTGGGCAAGCCGCCCCCGTCGTTGAGCACAGAGGCGCCCACCGTCATCGCCTACGGGCACCCCACCTCTTCCGTGATCGTTCATAGCACCTCGGTGAAAGCACAGGGTCCGTCTGTGATCACATACAACAGCATGTCCGCAAGCGCCCCGCTGAATGGGGGAACTCCACCGTCACTGTCCCAGTCATCCCCCTCTCCAGTTGTAACCAAACCCATTAAGAAGCAGGTCCTGAGGGAGTACATCCAGTCCCAGAAGAGGGAGGAGCAGGCATTGGAAGAGGAGGGGAGCGAGCAGGGCTTCAAGGCGAGGGGACCACGGACTGGACGCACCATGACCTACATGGCTAAACCAGCCTGTGTGGGCGCCGCCTCCGAAAGCCGAGCCGCCCCACTCTGCCAGATCACGGTGCGCATCGGCGAGGAAGCCATCGTCAAGCGGCGGATCTCCGAAACGGACCTGATGCTGGACAAGAGCAGCCGGATGGGAGGCAGGCGGTTGGATTTCGGCCGCGATCCGGGCAGTGAGAAACCGCATCCCTCCCTGCCTCCGACGCTGCACGGCAAGCATGCCGACCGGCTGTTTGCGAACGAGAGTGGCGAGGAGGACAGCGACCGCGGAGACACGGAAGACCAGCTTTGGCGCCCGTACTACAGCTATAAGCCCAAGCGGAAGGCTTGTGGCGGAGCCGGCAGTAGCGCCGGCAACGCCCTGCCGAAGATGAAGAAGTCGCGGTGGCGGCACAAGCTGCGCTCCCTGCGCTGGATGAAGCGGTCAGAGGACGCCAAGGAGGGGAGCAGAGCGGGACCCAACCATCCGGGGTCTGTGGAAGTATCTGGGGGACAGGGAGCTGCCTCCGACCGGGATGAGATGGATCCGCTGACCAAAGGGGCGGGCGGGCGGGGCGCCGAGTGGAAGCACGAGTGCGGCGTTTGCGGCAAACTTTTCTCGGCCCTCAAGAAGCTGAGGAAGCACGAACGGGTACACGGGCGCCTCGCCAAGGACGACCAGGCCCTGGCAGTCTTGGGCACCCCCCACCGGGTCGGCCGCAAGCCCCTGGTGAAGTTTGCCTGTGCCCACTGCACAAAGGTCTGCAAGACGGCGGCCGCCCTGAGCCGCCACATGAAACGGCACGAGGGTCAGGAGCTGGAGGAGGTCCCCCTGCCCGTGCTCACCACCGTCATTGCTTATTCTAAGAAGACCGCCGAGGTGCCTCTGGCTACCTCTCCCCCGGTGGTCAAAGAGGAGACCACCCAGGAAATGCAAGTGTCTTCCTCCAGCGGGGAGGCGCCCGTGGGCCAAGCAGAGGTCTCCGAGGGGGGCTGTGTGGAAATGGTGCCCTGCAACGGGCACACGCCGGCCCCTCTGCCCGAAGACGAACGCCTGTCGCAACAAGGGGCGGGCAAGTCCCCTTTCCACGAGGAGCTGCCCGCCCACCCACCGCCGCCGCCACAGGCCACCACCGCCAGCAGCACCCTGGCCGAGCTGCCTCCGGATCGGCCCCTCTCTCTTCAAGACCCCGTCATCTCTCACACGGGCCTGGTCCAGAAAGAGATTTTGGCGTCCCACGAGATGGAAGGTGACCGCTACCCGGTCCAGGAGTACCCCTTACCCCTACTGGTGCCAGGGAGTTGCCGGAGCCGGAAGGATCTGGAAGAGAAACCCTCCTTCCTGGCTTATCCCAGCGCCATCCAGTTCAACGCCGTCGGCAAGGCCGGGAGCAGCAGCGGAGAGGGCAAAGTCAGCTTCTACCCCGACCCGTATCCGCTGATGTACGGGCACCAGCTGCTGGCCGCTTACCCGTACAACTTCACCTGGCCGGTGGCTTTGAACATGGTGGTCCCGGATGACAAGGGTCAGCCTTTGCCCTTCCTGCCCAGCGTCTTCAGCTATTCGATGAACCCCTGCCGGGGCGTGGTGGGGCACGAGGGGGGGCCCGCCTCCCACGGGGGCCTGGGGATGGGCAGCTCGGCAGCGCGGGAGAGCCGTGGAGAGCCCGGGATGCCCGAGAAGCTGAAGAAAGGCGGGCGCCTCTGAGGGCCAGCCGGGGCAGAAAAGGGGCACCGGATTACAGGTGGAAAAAAGGCAAGGCAGGAGAATAGCCACCCTCCACCCCCTGGGAAGGGGGTGCGTGCTTACGAGAACCGGTGGGGGTGAGCGCAGAGGGGGCCCCCCCCGAACTGGGGCAAGTAGAAGAGAAGCTCCCCCCCCCTTCTTCCTACCAGTGGCATTTTCACGTGGGACGTGTCGTAGAGAAGACAATAGCAAAAATAGGTACAGGGTACCCTCGTTTTCCCACCCACCCCCTCCACGTGCCTGGTTCCTAAACCCCCCCTATGAATGTTGTTTGTAGACACAAATAAGAGTGAATTTTGCACAAGGAACCGCTCTTCGTCCTTCGGAAACCCCCCCTCCCTTCCCCGGGGCGGTTTCTGCCCCGCCCTCTTTTGCTCCTCCTCTGTACTTTTGCTGCTGGGGAGGGCGGAGGAACAGACTAGTTTGAAAGAAGTAGCCTCTCTAATGTAGCTCCTCTCCTGCTGTTGGGGTGCCTGCAGAGCCTTGCTCTGCCCCACCCCGCTGTTGGGGCGTCCTTCCTCTGCAGACCCTCCCCCTACTATTGGGGTGTCCCTTCTGCAGGCCCTTCCCCTTTTCTTCCCCCTCCCCCCGGTATTGGGGTGTCCTTCCTCTGCAGACCATCTCCTTCCCCCCCACTATTGGGGTGTCCTTCCACTGCAGACCCTCCCCCTACTATCGGGGTGTCCCCTCTGCAGACTCTTCCTCCTTTTCCCCCCTACTATTGGGGTGTCCCTTCTGCAGACCCTTCCCCTTTTCTCCCCCCCCCATATTGGGGTGTCCTTCCTCTGCAGAACATCTTCCCCCGTGATTGGGGTGTCCTTCCACTGCAGACCCTCCCCCTACTATCGGGGTGTCCCCTCTGCAGACTCTTCCCCCTTTTCCCCTCTACTATCGGGGTGTCCCTTCTGCAGACCCTTCCCCTTTTCTCCCCCGTTATTGGGGTGTCCTTCCTCTGCAGAACATCTTCCCCCCGCTATTGGGGTGTCCTTCCACTGCAGACCCTCCCCCTACTATTGCGGTGTCCCATCTGCAGACCCTTCCCCTTTCCCCCCCCCCAGTATTGGGGTGTCCTTCCTCTGAAGACCATCTCCTTCCCCCCCCCCGCTATTGGGGTGTCCTTCCACTGCAGACCCTCCCCCTACTATCGGGGTGTCCCCTCTGCAGGCCCTTCCCCTTTTTTCCCTCCTGCTATTGGGGTGTACTTCCTCTGCGGACCCTCCCCCTACTATTGGGGTGTCCCCTCTGCAGACTCTTCCCCCTTTTTCCTCCTGCTATTGGGGTGTCCTTCCTCTGCAGACCCTTCCCCTTCCCCCCCCCCAAGTATTGGAGTGTTCTTCCTCTGCAGACCATCTCCTTCCCCCCCCCACTATTGGGGTGTCCTTCCACTCCAGACCCTCCCCCTGCTATTGGGGTGTCCCCTCTGCAGGCCCTTCCCCTTTCCCCCCCCCTGCTATTGGGGTGTCCTTCCTCTGCAGACCCTTCTCTTTATTCTCCCCCCCCCCCTGCTTTTCCTTGGCCCAGCTCAGCTCCTCTACTTCGCTGCACAGCAGCTGGCGGAGTGGAGTGTGTGTGTGTGTGTGTGTGTGTGTGGAGGGGGGGGCTGTGCGTGCAATTTGTTTTCCAACTGGCTGGATGTGATGAATCACATTTTCCTTCTGGGCAGAGGAAGGCAGCGATGGGGGAAGGCCGGGAGAGGAATGGAAGGACTTTTTTTTTATGTCCACCACCTCTCCCGTCGAAGATGGAAAGACCGACCGAGTTGCGTTGAGGTGCACCACAGCACCACAGCGTCCCTCCAGCCAGCCAGCAACAGGGCATCCCATTGTTGGGGGACGGGGGAGAACAGGGGGGTTATCAATAGATACCCCATCTCTGGTGCCAGCAGCAAAAGCCCCTCCTCCCCCCTCCCTTGCACCCCCCCTCCTGCACCCCCCCCAATATAAACGAGCAAGGATCAGCAATAGGTCATTTCAGCTCTACATGTAATACTGTTCTCTCTTTTTTTTAAAGTAGCATTATGTTCTGTTTTTCCAAATGGGCGGCCTAGTTTAAAATCACAACGGGGCAGGCCTCCCCACCGCGGAAGGAAAGCCTGCGAGTTGTGGGTCCCAGGAGAAAGAGAGGGCCGGAGAAAGACGGTTTGTCATGGGCCAGCTTAAATTTGTGTCGCAAAAAACTCCGCAGCGCAGACCCCAGGGCTCCAGTGTTCCCCCAAAACGAGCAGCCCTCCATATTCTTCCCTTGCTGCCCCCCCTCCACTCAACTAAACCCCCTAAATATTTTAGGGGGGGCAACTTCAGCCTCTGTGTTACATTCCGGGAAAAGGAGAACTTAAGAGGGAAGGAAGGAACCCCTGCGCGGTTTTGGGGAAATGTAAAATTAATTTTTAACGGCCAAAACAAATCACCGTGTTCCTGTTAAAAAGCCGAAGCTTAGGGCCCCCCGCCCGGTTGAAATTTTTTCCAGTCTTCCTTCCTTCCGCGATTCAAAACATAAACACGCATTCACACACATACACATCCTTCCCCGATTTCCATCGGGGAGGATTTCCTCCCAAGGACCAAAACTGACAACATTTTCATTTTACCATTATTTCGGAAGGAAGAATCCTACAGACAATTCTAAGATAAACGTTCAAAATTATTTATTTTAGATCCATTGTTTTTCCTCTTTCTTTTTTTAAGAAGATGGAGGAGGGGAACTGTCCAGACTGTGGCCCAAGGCCCTGCTGCCTGTTGGGTTATGGAAATGGTTGTCCCAACCCTAGCCTAAACGTCGCAGCGCCGTTCGCGGTGGGATAAATAACCATCTTCCAAATTTAATTTTTTTGTGTGTCTCACACACACACACCCAGCACCCGCTGCAGGGAAGCCTCCAGAGGACCCCCCCCCCTCCTCCAAGTCTTTTTCCTGACCAGCCGTTGCCGCAGCAGCATCGCATGCGTCACCGTGTAAATTCCCATCGTTTGTGGAGTGACGCGACTTGTGCGATGTTTTTTTGCAACCTTGCGAAAGACCCCCTAAAGCTAAGCCGTTGCCACTTCTCTTTGGTGGTGGGGGGCGGACCCAGATTTTGTCGCCCCTCTGACTACGTCCCTGGCACTCAGAGGTCCACCGCGGAGTTCCCTGGACAGTACACTGTGTAGAATTCCCAGTGTAGAATCAGGCAGGGGAGTTGGATGTTCAGGTGCCAGGACCGCGACCTTTGAACCCCGTTCCACCTGCAGAATTGGGACCAGGGTACTCGGGATCACAGGGACACACCTGCCCTCTTCTGTACAGTGGCTGGCTACAGGGACCTCGTAGACAGGCACGGCCGTGCACAAAATCCCTTCCCACGCAAGGGACGATAATTGTTTCCCGACGCTGCCTCTTTGCCGCACTCCGTCATGGCAGACGGCCCTCCCTGCTTCGCTGCTGCAGCCGAGTCCCACCACACCATGCCCATTTCTGCCCATCCTTCCCCCCCCCGAACACTGAGACCTGGGGCCCCCTCCTTTTCTGCTGCCATGAGTCTTTTTCCCCCCTACCACCTGCCTTTCCAGCCCTTCGTGCTTCCAACATCTGATGCGTTCCTCAGTTGACAGCAGGCTGCACTTCAATGCAGCGTTCTCCCGCACATTTTCCCGTCCTGCAGCCCCTTCTGCACGCTGCCCCCTCCCCCTTAGAGGGTGGGCTACGCAGGGCTGCCATTCTGGAATACATTGGGGTCCTGTCCTTCTCCAATCTTCTCCTGGCATTTTTTTGGGGGGGGATGGAGAGGGGTCCAAATAACGCTTGTTTGCAGGTCTGGTGTGCAGGGGCCTCCAGCTAGCAAGGTTTTAGCACACTGTTGCTCTGCACGAGGAGGCAGGGGTACTTCCTGGACCCCAGTGAGTTTTTTGAGCGGGGGGGGGGCTGCATTTCCAGCAGCACACCCCTTGATTGCATCCATAGACGGGAGGGCAAGGCAGACAAGGCTGGGCTGAGCGAGAGCACGCGCCAAAGGTATTCTGGATGGTCCTCCCGCCAGGACAGGAGGGTCTGGGTTCGGGGGGGGGGGAACATTGGGGGCAGAAGGGGGAGGTCACTGACATGTATATATAGTGGTCCGTCTCTCCGATCTTTTGCACTTTGTCACTGGGGGGCTCCGGTGATTGTTGACCGTTTGCTACTGAATGTAACTCGTCTTTTATTTTTATTTTTTTAGAAGCACCTCTAGCTAGTTTTATGGCACTTTAGATATTTACTGAAACTGTTTAAGGAAACTACAGAAAAGCAAAAAAAAAAAAAAACCAACATAAATAAACGAATAATAATAATAAAGAGAGAGAGAGAGAGAGACAGAAAGAGAGAGGAAAACAAGATTGAGACTTAGGAGAGAGAAAGAGAGAGAGCGCGCGCGAGACAGCAGGAGGAGACAACCGATAAAAAATCACCCATTGGTCGTAATCCCGAGGACGAACCACCGTTTTTCTGCCGCTTTTTCCCAATCTCTGTTTCCCGAGTGTGACAGTGTGCGGAATCCGTTAGACAATTGCCGTATTTATCTTTCTGCATCTTTGTGTGTAACTCCAATAACTTCTTCAGAATAAAACAACAATTATATGTTGACAGTGACACTATTGCAAAGCGCGTCCGACGAACGCCAGTTTCCGCTTTGGCACACTCCTGGGCTGGGAGACAGGAAAGACACAATGGGGGCTACACAACCCACGTGTGCAGGGAGTGGGATTTGTGGAAAGGAGGGGGGGGGAGACGAGAAGGTTAAAGGCTGTGGAGTCCTGGGTGCTCTCTGAGCTTGGCGGTTTCCTTGCAGACATTTCATGACCCAACTACGAAACTTCCATCGGTTCTGGTTAACCCCGATTCCTTCTAGTGCAGTGGTTCTCAACCTGTGGGTCGGGATCCCATTTGGGGTCGAACGACCATTTCACGGGGGTCGCCAAACAACGCAGTCCGCCATTTTCTTTTCCCCTTTTCCCTAGCTGTGCTCCTCCCTTTTATTCTATTGGCTTTTGAAAGCCAATAGAAGAGACTCTTGAATAGAGTCTAATTCTATTGGCTTTCAAAAGCCAATAGGAATTGTCCAGGCTGTCTCTGCCCTGCTGAGCCCGCCAAAAGTCCCATTCTGCAAACGGTGCTGCACCAGTTGAGTAGTACTCGACTTATGACCGGTTGAGTAGTCCTCGACTTACGACCGGTTGGGGGTCGCGGCATTAAAAAGGTTGAGAACCACTGTTCTAGTGTGATGATGTTACCTAGTTGGGTCATGAAATGTCTCCAAGTAAACCAGCAAGCTTGGAAACTACCAAGGACCCCAGAATCATTGTCGTTCTCCTCCTCCTCCCTTCTAGAATGGATGATGTTCCCTAGTTGGGTCATGAAACGTCTGCAAGGAAACCACCCAGCTTTGGGGGGCACCAGAGAACCCATAGTCCTCCTCCTCCAACCCCCCTCCCTTGTAGCACTGATGATGTTCCCTAGTTGGGTCACGAAACGTCTGCAAGAAAACCACCCAGCTCAGAGAGCACCAAGGACCCCATAATCCTCCTCCTGTCTCCACAATCCCCCCTCCCTTCCATCACTGATGGTGTTCCCTAGTTGGGTCATGTAACGTCTGCAAGAAAACCAACCTCAGAGACCACCATGGACCCCCACAGTCCTGTGCAAAACACAACTACAGCCCAACATTTTTGCTTGACCCATTTGACAAGTCCCAAGGCCATTTCTAGAACCGCAAACCGACTTTAATCAGCGAACTCAAAAGTGTCAAAATGAGTTCATTTTTGTCTTGCTGCTGTTAAATTAACTGTCACGTTGGGGGCGGCTTAAACCCCCCCCCTCCCCAGTCTTCCCTCAGCGTCCCAAGATCAAGGAGAGAAGCATCCTAGAACTAAGGAGAAACTTCCTGACAGTGAGGACAATTAGCCAGTGGAACCACCTGCCTCCAGAAGCGGTGAATGCTCCAACACTGGAAGTTTTTAAGAAGAGACTGGACAGCCATTTGTCTGAAAGGGTATAGGGCAGAGGGTCGGGACCCCATTTGGGGTCGAGCGACCATTTCACGGGGGTCGCCAAACAACGCAGTCTGCCATTTTTTCCCCCTTTTCCTTAGCTGTGCTACTCCCTTTTATTCTATTGGCTTTTGAAAGCCAATAGAATAGACTCTCTTGAGTAGAGTCTAATTCTATTGGCTTTTAAAACCAAGAGGAATTGTCCAGGTGTCTCTGCCCTGCTGAGCCCGCCAAAAGTCCCAGTCTGCAAACGGTGCTGCACCAGTTGAGTAGTCTTCGACTTACGACCAGTTGAGTAGTCCTCGACTTACGACCGGTTGGGGGGGTCACGGCATTAAAAAGGTTGAGAACCACTGGTATAGAGTTTCCTACCTGAGCAGGGGGTTGGACTAGATGACCTCCAAGGTCCCTTCCAACATTATTATTATTATTAACTTTGCCCTATAACACCTGCCAAGAAACATAGTCCTATGTATCCCCCTCCCCACAGAGTCAGTTTTAGCACACGGACGCGCACCTGCCTGCCTTTCAACTTGCAAGACCCGGACCTTTGCCCTTGCTCTACTCCTCCGGCGGCGTTATTGCAACCACGAGCAAACAAGCCATTGCCCTCTCGGCTGATGGCCCTTTCACCCCCATCGAAGCGCAAGACAGGTGCGTGTGGCCCTCCAGGGAGCCCATCCGTTGCCAAAACAGTGCGGGGTTGTTTTTTTTTTTTTTTTAGTTCGTGCCTAAAGGAAGTGCGCAGAGGTGTGGTGCAGCAAACGTGCCTGGACTTCCAAAGACTGCAAAAGCACCACTCCGTTGTGATTGTACACTGAGGATTACCTATACAGACATTTGTCTGAAATGGTGCAGGGTCTCCTGCCCGAGCAGGGGGTTGGACTAGATGACCTCCAAGGTCCCTTCCAACTCTTATCCTATTATTCCTCCTCCTCCTCCTTTCCACAAATCCCTCCCCCTTCTAGCATTGATGATGTTACCTAGCTGGGTCATGAAACGTCTGCAAGAAAACAGCCAAGCTCAGAAAGCACCAAGGACCCCCCAGTCCTTTTCCTCCTCCTCCCCCTCCTCCTCCTCCTCTTCCTCCTCCTCCTCCTCCTTCCTCAAGAAGAGACTGGATAACCATTTGCCTGAAATGGTCTCTAGTCACTGGGCAGGGGGTTGGACTAGGTGGTCTCTAAGATCCCTTCCATGTCTGTTATCCTCCTCCTCCTCCAGAGACTGGACAGCCACTGTTTTGGGTCTCCTGCTTGAGCAGGGGGCTGGACTAGATGACCTCCAAGGTCCCTTTCCACTGTGTTATACTGTTATTCCTCGTCCTCCTCCTCCTCCTTTTTAAGAAGAGACTGGACAGCCATTTGTCTGAAATGGTGTAGGGTCTCCTGCCTGAGCAGGGGGTTGGACTAGATGACCTCCAAGGTCCCTTCCGAGTCTGTTATTCTGTTATCCTTCCTTCCTTTCTTCCTCCCTCCCTCCTCCAACACTGGAAGTTTTAAAGAAGAGATTGGACAGCCATTTGTCAAAGATACCATAGGGTTTCCCGCCTGAGCAGGGGGTTGGACTAGATGACCTCCAAGGTCCCTCCCGAGTCTCTTTATTCTGTATTCTGTTGCTCGGCTGCGAAGCCTGAGACGGACACAGGAAACTCGCAGCCGGAGAGAAGAACAGGACTGGGGGGGGGAGAGAGGCGGGGGGGGGAGGAAGAAGGAGAGAAGAACAGGACTGGGGGGGGGAGAGAGGCGGGGGGGGGAGGAAGAAGGACGTGGTAGTGGAGATCTGCGAAAGAGGAAGGAAGTTCACCCCGCAGATGGGTGGAAAGGGAGGCATTATTTGCCCCCCCCCGCGGTGCGTGGCAATCTGGGGGCCTGATCTCTGCGCCCCCAAGGAAGAGGAGACTCGGGCCCTCTCTGGCACCCTGGCAAGACAATGCACCATTTCCCGAAAAGCCGCACTGGGCTGCCAACAGCTTGCACAACATCTGCACAATAGCCAGACTGTTTCCCCGTTTCCCGTCCTCATCTGGCGAGGGATCTCCAGAGGATCTGCTGCGCCAGAGTCTCCCTGTGCGGCTCTTCTGGCCACGTCGAAGCAGGTGGCTGAGATTTTGCAAAGAGAGCGTAAAAGGGAAGGGGCTTGGGAGGTCATCTAGTCCAACCCCACCGCCCAGACTGCCCGGGCAGCTCCTGACTTCCCCTTTCCCTGCTTTGCGGGGCAGGCTAAGCCGTTAACCGGCACTGTTTAAACTAGGGGGTCTTCCAACTTGGCCCTTTGAGGACTGGTGGACTTCAACTCCCAGAATTCCTCAGCCAGCGTGAGGGAACTAGGACCCTTTGATGACTTGTGGACTTCAACTCCCAGAATTCCTCAGCCAGCGTGAGGGAACTAGGACCCTTTGATGATTTGTGGACTTCAACTCCCAGAATTCCTCAGCCAGCGTGAGGGAACTAGGACCCTTTGATGATTTGCGGACTTCAACTCCCAGAATTCCTCAGCCAGCGTGAGGGAACTAGGACCCTTTTATGACTCGTGGACTTCAACTCCCAGAATTCCTCAGCTGGCGTGAGGGAACTAGGACCCTTTGATGATTTGCGGACTTCAACTCCCAGAATTCCTCAGCCAGCGTTCCTGGCTGAGGAATTCTGGGAGTTGAAGTCCGCAAGTCATCAAAGGGCCAATTTTGAAGACCCCTCCTAGTTTAAACAGCCTTTGGGAACTAAAGGAATACAGGTAATCCTCTACTTAACCACAGTTTGTTTAGTGACTGTTCAGGTACAAATGAAATTAAGGCCGTGTTTCACACTTACGGCCATTGCAGCATCCCCCTGACCAAAATTCAAAGTTCCTATTTATGACGGTGTTCCCAAAGTCACGTGATTCCCTCTTTTGACAATCGAGGCCGGTGGGGAAGCACGCTGGAGATTTTTAAGAAGAGACTGGACAGTCCCTTGTCTGAAATGGTACAGGATCGCCTGCTCGAGCAGGGGATTGGACTAGATGACCTCTGAGGTCCCTTTTCGCTCTGTTCTGATCACATTACCTATTTGCCTGAAATGGGTATATAGGGTCTCCTGCTTGAGCAGGGGGTTGGACTAGACAACCTCCCAGGTCCCTTCCAGCTGATCACATTACATATTTGTCCGAAATAAGTGTAGGGTCTCCTGCCTGAGCAGGGGGTTGGACTAGACAACCTCCCAGGTCCCTTACAGCTGATCACATTACATATTTGTCCGAAATAAGTGTAGGGTCTCCTGTCTGAGCAGGGGGTTGGACTAGACAACCTCCCAGGTCCCTTCCAGCTGATCACATTACATATTTGTCCGAAATAAGTGTAGGGTCTCCTGCCTGAGCAGGGGGTTGGACTAGACAACCTCCCAGGTCCCTTCCAGCTGATCACATTACATATTTGTCCGAAATAAGTGTAGGGTCTGCTGCTTGAGCAAGGGGTGGGACTAGACGACCTCCAAGGGGCCCATTCCGATTCTGAGTGCTTGCAGATCAGTTAGTCAACCTGGTGGGAGAAGTCAGGACCCTTCCCCAAAGACAGGTGAGGCCTTGGGGGGGGAGAGGCACTGGCCTGGCAGCCTGGCTAGACTAGGGGCCTTGACCCCTGGAAAAGTTTATGTCAACAGGATCCGAAAAATTGGAATTTGACCACAGCCGGCTCCAGTCCGGGCGGACTGTCTGCGCGGTCCAGCCATGTTCCCAGCTGCTGCCTGGCTGATCCTGCTGGTGGCCCCTGGCCCCCCCTGGGTCAGGGGGGACCTGATTCAAGAGACGGAGGAGGGGGACGCGCTGAAGGTGAGTCTGGCAGGCTGCAGATTACGGAATTCCAGAATTGGAAGGGACCCCGGAGGTCATATAGTCCAACCCGCTGCTTGAGCAAGCCAGCCCTATGCCAGGGGTCTTCCACCTCGGCGCCTTTTAAGACTGGTGGGCTTCAACGTTGCTGGCTGAGGAATTCTGGGAGTTGAAGTCCACCAGTCTTAAAGTTGCTAAGCGTGAGGACCCCCCCCCTACCCAAGGGGGTCTTGGGTCTTGCTTCCGGTCAGCATGATCCAATTGGCCCCCTCTTCCTTCATCCGGACGGTTTAACGCTCTAAAAGGATGTGCCCACTATTCATATCAGGAGCGCAGGCTGCCGTTCAACAGGGGAGGCCCCGTTGCGCTTAAGGCACAGGAATGGGGCTCTAGGTCCCCCCACGGGTGTCTGCAAAAAGAACGCTAATTCGTTTTAGAACCGGACAGCCAGAATGGGATTGGGGGGGGGTGGACTAGAAGACCTCCAAGGTCCCTGACCACTGTGTCCTCTGCCCCAGCTTGGCACGGCGCACCCAGCTGCTTGAGCACGGGCAGAAAAGAGGCAGCGGCTTCACCGGTTGAATTTCTCAGGGTCCCGCGGGATCCAGCGCAAGCGAGACCCTTCCGAGGGGTGGGGGGTGGGGAGGGGGGGTCGAGGCTGATTTTGAAGAGGATCCCTTTTTTTTTTGCCAAAGGGAAACGGAGCAAGCTCTCCGCGGTGGGTGAGGTCATCCAGTCGTGCCCGAGCTCCCTAGCGACGACCCCCCCCCCGGGTGGACTTGCGGACTTCCTCGCCCCTCCCGCGCCGTTTCCCACGGAGCAAGGCTGCCCCCGCGTGGCTCAAAGCTCGCCGCGCACCGTACGCGGGCGATCCCCTCCCCTAGCGGCGCGCTCGGGTACTGCGCGGCTTCTGTTTCTCCGCGAGTGGGGTGCTGCCCCCTGGCGGGCGGCCGAGGCTGATGCCGGTCTTTCCCCCCCCCCCCCAAATCTTTCCAGCTGGGTGCCTGTTTCCCAGGCTCGGCCGTGGAAGCCGGGGGGCTGAATCTGGGACAGAGATGGGGAGACCCCTCCCCAACTGCCAGTCTCCTCATTGACCTGCGAAGGGTAACCAGGTAAAGAAGGAAACCTCGGAGGGGGGCGGGTGGGTGGGTGGGCAGGGGGCGTGGCCAAGGGGCTTCTTCCCCCCCCTCCCCCGCCCCATACGGGGAGCGCGCCTTTCTTCCAGGAGTTGCGCGGGCTTTGTCAGGATGCCGCGCAAGGCTGCCAGGCTACGTGCTGCGAAGCCCAGGATGGCGTGTGCGCCTGGTCCCCCGTGGGGTCCCAGAGCAGCTGGGGGGAGGGTCTCTCGGGGAGGGTGAAGAAGCCCCCCCCCCCGCAGGAGAGGAGGAGTGCGGGGATGATGGGATCTTTAGTACAGAGAGAGGAAAGGAGAGAGAGGGAGGGAGGGAGGAAGAAAGGGAAAGAGAGAGGGAAAGAGGAAGAGAAAAAGAAAGAGAGAGGAGAAGAGAAAATGAGAAAGGAAGGGAGGGAGAACAAAGAAAGGAAAGAAAGAAAAAGGAAAGAAAGAAAGAGTAAGAAAGAAAGAAAGAAAGAAAAAGAGAAAGGAAGGAAAGGGAGGGAGAGAGAAAGGAGGGAAAGAGAAAAGAAGGGAGGGAGAGAGAAAGAAAAAGAGAAGGAAAGGGCAAAAGTGGGAGAAACGGAGGGAGAGAAAGAGTGAGAGAGAGACAGTGGGAGAGGCAGGGTGAACATGGGAGAGAGGGAGGGGGAGAGAGAGTGGGAGAGAAAGAAAGTGGGAGAGAGGGGCAGAGAGGGAGAGAGAGAGAGAGAGCGGGATAGGGAGAGAGAGAAGAAAGAATGGGAGAAAGTGAGAGGGGAGAGAGAAAAAGCGGGAGAGAGAGAGTGGGAAAGAAGGAGAGAGAGGAAGAGAGAGAGAGAGAGAGAGAATGGGAGAGAGAAAGAGAGAGAGAGAGAATGGGAGAGAGAAAGAGAGCAGGAGAGAGAGAGAGAGAATGGGAGAGAGAAAGAGAGAGAGAGAATGGGAGAGAGAAAGAGAGAGAGAGAGAGAGAGAGGGAGGTGTGTAAGAGAAGTCAATGACCATCCACGGCACCTGGCTGTGCCGTGTCTTCCCCATCCGGGAGGGGTCTGCATCAAGGCCCTCCCCCCTCTGGTTTCCCCCTTGAGATGACCCTCCCTTTTCCTTCCCCCCCCCCCCAGTGCAGTTTCCTCCTTTGACTTCCGGACCTTCGACCCGGAAGGGGTCATCTTCTTTGGGGACACGAATCCCGGCTTCGACTGGTTCGTCCTCGCTTTGCGTCGGGGGAAACCGATCATGCAGATCCACAACTCCGTCACCAACATCACCGTCTCCGGGGGGCGGCGTCTCAACGACGGCCAGTGGCATCGGGTAAGACGACAGGCGGGTCCTCGACTTACGACCACAAACGAGACCAGCGTTTCCACCGCTCAGCGAGGCAAGTCATTAAGCGAGTAGCGCCTCATTTCAAGAGCTTTCTTGCCACTGCCGTTAAGCGAATCACCACAGTCGTTCAGTGAATCGTGCGGCCGTTAAGCAAATCCGCCTTCCCCCGGGAGTTTGCTGGTCAGACGGTCGCCAAAGGGGATCGTGATCCTGGGAACGCTGCAACCGTCGTAAATACGAGTCAGTTGCTGAGTGTCCGAATTTTGATCCCATAACCGCAGAGATGCTGCGATGGACATAAGTGCGAGAAATGGTCCTAAATCGCTTTTTCCAGTGCCGTCGTAACTTCAGACGGTCACTAAACAAACGGTTGTAAGTCAAAGGCTGTCCTTGTATATTTGCTGCATCTTGTGTCAGGGAGTTCCACAGGCTAACGATGCATTGAAATGGAGCCGGTCATAAGTCAAGGACTACCTATCAGCTAAAGGAGACCCCCCCTGCCTCCCCCATGTGTCCCATGTCCTCCGGTGTTGGGGGGTCCCGATCCTTTCTGACTCTCCTCTTCCTCTGTCCCTCTTTGCGACGTCTCCTGTGCTCCCCGGACAGATTACGGTGAAGAACGAAGGACACATCGTAATGTTGTTGCTTGACGGAGAGGACCAACTCACCCTCAGCCACGTCTCCCACCCGATTGTGAACCAGACCACCCCCCAGATGCGCATCGGGGTGGGAGGCCTGTTCATCTTGCCGACTGAATTGCTGGTCCCGGTAAGATGGAGCTCTGTCTTCCGGCGTCCGTACGCCGCGAGACCCAAAACGGCCTAAAGTCCCCCAATGGATTCCTTTTCCCATCTTTTCTCTAAACCAGTTTTTTTCTCGAGCTTGGGTGCTTTAATTGGACTTCAATTCCCAGAATTCCCTAGCCAGCCATACCTGTTTTCAAAACTTGGGAGCTATGAAAAGTGTGGACCGCCACTGTGGCCTGCTTACTTATAAGTGGAGAGATTGCAGAGGAAAGGATTATAAGAGAGTATGCAAGCCACAGTGGGTATACACATCAAAAGGAACGCATTAGTGCCAGGGAATTCTGGGAGCTGAAGTACACACTTTTCATAGCTCCCAAGCTTGAAAACACGGCTCTAAAGTAATCCAAAAACTCTTTTATTTTTCACCCTCCCTCTGTTTTATTCTCACAACAGCCCTGCAAGGTGGGTCAGGGGGAATAAGGGTAACGGATCCAGGGTCAGAATGGGGGGAAATTAGGGTTTGAATGTGGGCCCAGTTCAAAACACATAGCCAATCTTTAGCTTGAGAGATACGTCTATCTGTCTAAAGTTTTGGGCAGGGTGTTTGAATCATGGCTTGTTTGAGCATAGTTTGAGCCATTCAAATTGTTCACTAGCCATAAAGCATCATTTATGAGCCAGGGGGTCTGGATTTGTCCCATTGTGCTATACTGGAATTTATTGCAAAGAACAGAACAGATTAGAAATAGAAATAATAAGAATAGGATGGGATGGGATGGGATGGGATGGGATAGGACAGGACAGGATAGAATAGAATAGAATAATAAAATACAGAATAGAGTAGAGTAGAGTAGAGTAGAGTAGAGTAGAGTAGAGTAGAGTAGAATAGAATAGAATAGGGATAGGATAGGATAGGATAGGATAGGATAGGATAGGATAGGATAGGATAGGATACAATAGAAATAGGAATGGTAGAATAGAATAGAATAGAATAGAATAGAATAGAATAGAATAGAATAGAATAATAAAATACAGATAGAATAATAAAATACCGAATAGAATAGAATAAACAGAATAATAAAATACAGATAGAATAGAATAATGAAATAATAGAATAGAATAGAATAATAGAATAAATAGAATAATAAAATACACAATAGAATAGAATAATAAAATACAGATAGAATAGAATAATAAAATACAGATAGAATAGAATAATAAAATAATAGAATAGAATAATAATAGAATAGAATAGAATAATCAAATACAGATAGAATAGAATAATAAAATATAGAATAGAATAGAATAGAATAGAATAGGAATAGAATAGAATAGAATAGAATAGAATAGAATAATAAAATGCAGAACAGGAACAGATGCTCAGCATGCAACAGGTCTTGACTTATGACCGCCCAAAAAACAACCGTTGCAAAGCGGGGCCAGTCACGCAATCCACCCACTTTACGACTGTCCCGACTTAACGACCGGGGACGGTCAGGCTCCCTTACGATCCTAAGGACGGCCTGCGGAACCAGGGATTCACCATCACCTGAAACTGCCACGCCCTTCGGCGCCAGGCTCTCCCTGCCGCCCCCCCCTTTCCTCCCCGAAGCCCCCCACCCCAATTTCAAGAGGGTCTTTTGTCTTTCCCCATCCTGCCTCCTCCTCCTCCTCTCTCCCCCCACCCCCTCCCTGGACTGACCGGGGGTCTGCAGCTGAACCCGGCCCTGGACGGCTGCATCAGGCACTGGGACTGGCTGAACACCAGCCAACCGTGGCAAGAGGGGGCGTCCCTGCAGGACCCCGGCGCCAAGGTCTGCATGGCCACCGTCCAGCGGGGTAGCTTCTTCCCTGGCGACGGACTGGCCGTCTTTCAAGTCTCAGGTATGGCTGGGCACCAGGGGCTGTGGAGTCCCTAGATGGGGAGGGCCTGGCAGGGCAGTGTCCCCGTTGCTCGTCAACGGGTGGGCACCGGCGGTGGCAGCTGCCGGAGGTGCCAGCCACGGCCTTCTCCTCCTCCTTCTCCTCCTCCTCTCGCAGGCCTCCCCGTCCGGCTCAGCCCCATGGACGGCAACTGGCGCTTCTCCCTGCAGCTGCGGATCAGGGCCGCCCCCCAGCTCAGCACCCTGCTGGCCGTTTGGGCGATGGAGGAGCAGCGCCCGGCCCTGCGCCTGGCCCTGGAGCGCACGGTGAGGACGGACGGGCGGAGGCATCCGAGCCTCCTCGCATCCCGGATGGCTGGTAGCAGGAACACACACACACACACACACACACACACACACACACACACACACTTTGCGGGGGGGGGGGGCAGGGCTGGCTGGCCGTGGAGGTGCCCGCCAGATGGGTTGGGCTGCCAGGAATGACTGCTGGGAGGGGCCGAACAGTCAAGAGGGTGGCCACAACTGTGTGGGCGTCCACCAGATGATCAGGTGGGTGGGTGGAAGGAAAGAAGGAAAGGAAGGAAGGAAGGAAGGAAGGAAGGAAGGAAGGAAGGAAGGAAGGAAGGAAGGAAGGATGGATTTAAGGTTGGAAGGATGGAAGGAAGAAGGATGGATGGAAGGAAAGTTGGAAAGCTGGATCAACGTTTTGACAAATGGAAGGATGGATGGAAAGAAGAAGGATGGATGGAAGATTGGAAGGGAGAAGAAAGGATGGGAGGAAGGAAGGAAGGATGGATTTAAGGTTGGAAGGATGGAAGGAAGAAGGATGGATGGAAGGAAAGTTGGAAAGATGGATCAAAGGTTTGACAAATGGATGGAAGGATGGATGGAAGGAAGAAGGATGGATGGAAGATTGGAAGAGAGAAGAAAGGATGGGAGGAAGAAAGGAAGGATGGATTTAAGGTTGGAAGGAGGTAAGGAAGAAGGATGGATGAAAAGAAAGGAAGGAAAGTTGGAAAAATGGATCAAAGGTTTGACAAGTGGAAGGATGGGTAGAAGGATGGATGGAAGGATGGATGAAAGGAAGGATGGATGGATGGATGGAGAGATGGAAGGAAAGAAGGATAGATGGAAGGAAGGTTGGAAAGGTGGATGAAAGTTTGACAAATGGATGGATGGATGAAAGGTTTGGAAGGAAGATTGGAAGGATAAATGGAAGGAAGGAAGGGTAGAAAGACGGAGGGCGGATAGATGAACGAATGAAGGAATGAGTGAAGGCCATTTGTCCAAAATGGAATAGGGTTTCCTGCCTGAGCAGGGGGTTGGACTAGATGACCTCCAAGGTCCCTTCCAACTTTATTATTATTATTACTATTATTACTATATTATTATTATTATTATTATTATTATTATTATTATTATTATTGATCATCGCACAGTCAGCCAGATGTTCAGACTGGATTTGGCATTTTGTCTACCTATCGAGTCCTTACCCAGGACCTGGGATAGGCAGAGGTGGATGTTTGATGGTATTACAGATATCGTCGCAGGATGGAAGCAGTTCCTAGTAAGGCTGCCTTTTGCAATTGACTAATAGCGAATTTGTCAATGCCGATGATGGTGTTCAAGTGGTGCTCCAGTTGTTTTGGGATTGCACCCAAGGCGCCTATGACTATTGGTACCACCCTTGCTTGCTTTTGCCACAGTCTTTCTATTTCTATTTGTAGGTCTTTGTATTTTGTTATCTTCTCCAATTCTTTCTCTTCTATTCTGCTATCTCCAGGCACTGTCACGTCCACTATCCAGACTTTTTTGTCTTTCTTATCGACAATTATTATTATTATTATTATTATTATTATTATTATTATTATTATTATTATTATTATGTGGGGAGAGATCTGAGACAGTCCTCCACCGAGGCTTCTGTGCAGGGCATCATGGGCCTCTGGGTGCCATGTGGGGGGGGGGAAGAACCACGGAAAGTGCACCCAGCCCCGCCCCCCTCCTCAACCCACTTTGTGTCTTCTCCTCCCACTCAGGATTTGACGGCCGAACTGGGTAACCAGACGGTCCTGCTGCTTCCTCTCCCCCAAGGGGGCTGCCTGGATACCCCCCTCCTCCTCCTCCTCACCCCCTCCTCCTTCACGCTGCGTCTGGGCGACACCGAGGTCACCAAGCCCACCCCCAGGGACGATTACGAGAGCCTGAGAGATGTCTGGCTGAGCAACATGGGAAACCTGGTCATCGGAGGGGCATCTGGTACGTCTTCCCAGGAAGGGGGGGGAACCATAGCAAGGGGCACATGGGACAGGAGGTGTAAGTCACTCCGGCTAAAAAGAGGGTGTAAGTCACCCCAAGTCACCCGGATGGGCAGTGCATCAATTTAATCTAAAAATAATCTCACTCTGCTGAAGAGCTGTACATCTCCTGAATCTTGTGGCATGGAGTTCCGCAGGCATTTGGAATTTATACTCTGGCAGGTTTCTAACACGACTTAAAACGGAGCCCAGAATTTCCACTGCAAGATAAGTTGTTAAGCGAGTTTTGCCCCCGTTTTACGACCTTTCTCACCGCGGCTGCTAAGCAAATCACTGCAGTTGCGAAGTTGGTAACCTGGTTGTTAAGTGAGTCCCCCGCTGACTTTGCTTTGTCGGAAAGTCACTAAAAAAGGGGGAATCGCGCAACCCCGGGACGCCGCGACCGTCATAAATACGGGTCAGTTGCCCAGTGGCCGAATTTTGATCCCGTGACTCCTGGAGGATGCAGCAATGGTCGTAAGTGTGGAAAACGGTCCTAAGTCCCTTTTTTTCCAAGGCTCTTGTAATGTCTGAACGGTCCCTAAGTCAACCTGAATTATATTTGCAGCATCTTGGGGCAGGGAGTTCCCCAGGCTAACGACGCATGGAAATGCAGCCGGATTTATATGCTGCTGGGCTTCTCATTATTTCTGACTCTTTTTTTAAAAAATATATTTTTATTTCAGGAGAGGGGAAAACTCCGGAATCTCCTCGTTTCCAGGGCTGCCTCCACACTGTCTGGGTTCAAGGTCATGAGCTGGACTTCGATGATGCTCAGTTCCGGAGCAATTCGATCTGGGCACACAGCTGCCCCGGGAACGAGGGAAACAAAGTCGACGTGGATGATGGGCATTAAAGGGACAGTGGCGCTATTGCACGCACACACGCACACCTGGGCAGTTTTTCCATCCCTGAGCACATCTGTCGCCATCTCTCTCTGTTTCTGCCATCCGTAAATGTGTGTGGTAATAATAATAGTAGTAAAGTTGGAAGGGACCTTGGAGGTCATCTAGTCCAACCCCCTGCTCAGGCAGGAAACCCTACACCATTTCGGACAAATGGCTGTCCAGTCTCTTCTTGAAAACTTCCAGTGTTGGAGCCTTCACCGCTTCTGGAGGCAGGTGGTTCCACTGATTAATTGTTCTCACTGTCAGGAAGTTTCTCCTTAGTTCTAAGTTGCTTCTCTCCTTGATTAGTTTCCACCCGTATCCCCTGGTGATAGCTAGGTTCCCGTAGCCGCAACATAGAGCAGGGGGGTGATTGTTGCCCGCGTGGTTGATGACCGGCTGGGTGCCAAGTCAGCTTGTGGTTGTGTTGTCGGACAATTGTGGGAAACAGCAGTGATGCTATTCTCCTATGGGCTCCAGGTTTGCAGAATTAGTGTCTCGTTGTATCCGCAAATGCTTCTCAACCATGGGAACTTTTAAGAGGGGTGGACTTCAATTCCCAGAATTCCTAGCCAGGATGCTTTAAAGGAGGTGGACTTCATCTCCCAGAATTCCTACCCAGGATGCTTTAAAGGAGGTGGACTTCATCTCCCAGAATTCCTACCCAGGATGCTTTAAGGGAGGTGGACTTCAACTCCCAGAATTCCTACCCAGGATGCTTTAAGGGAGGTGGACTTCAACTCCCAGAATTCCTAACCAGGATGCTTTAAGGGAGGTGGACTTCAACTCCCAGAATTCCTACCCAGGATGCTTTAAGGGAGGTGGACTTCAACTCCCAGAATTCCTACCCAGGTTGCTTTAAGGGAGGTGGACTTCAACTCCCAGAATTCCTACCCAGGATGCTTTAAGGGAGGTGGACTTCAACTCCCAGAATTCCTAGCCAGGGTGCTTTAAGAGAGGTGGACTTCAACTCCCAGAATTCCTAACCAGGATGCTTTAAGAGAGGTGGACTTCATCTCCCAGAATTCCTAGCCAGGGTGCTTTAAGAGAGGTGGACTTCATCTCCCAGAATTCCTAGCCAGGATGCTTTAAGAGAGATGAACATTTATTCTTGCGCTATCCTTGCTGAATTCTGGTAAACCCTTGCTAGCTGGGGAATGCTGGGAGTTGAAGTCCACCTGTCTTAAAAGTTCTCACGGTTGAGAAATATCGGTTCAGGCTGGTCCGGATTTGAAGGCCTGCAACCAAGGCTGGTGCTACCGGTAGTAAACTCCCCGTAACCTATAGTAGCAACGTCTTATTACTAATCGGAATAAGGAGAGAGAGAGAGAGAGAGAGAGAGAGAGAGAGAGTGTTGCAGACTTTGATGAAAGAAAGCAGGAGAAATCCCTAAAAAAAATTCCCCTGGCCTGGCTGAGGCGTGTAATTCAGATAGAAAGCGCAACTTGTAAATATCTTAATAAATGGATAGTCTAAAGTGAATGGCTGTCTGTTTTAAAAGGATAGATAGATAGATAGATAGATAGATAGATAGATAGATAGATAGATAGATAGATAGATAGATACAGATAGATAGATAGATAGATAGATAGATAGATAGATAGATAGATAGATAGATAGATATGGATAGATAGATAGATAGATAGATAGATAGATAGATAGATAGATAGATAGATAGATAGATAGGTAGAGATAGATAATATAGATAGATAGATAGATAGATAGATAGATAGATAGATAGATAGAGGTATATAAATATAGATAGATAGATAGATAGATAGATAGATAGATAGATAGATAGATAGATAGAGATAGAGATATAAATAGATAGATGGATAGATTAGAGATAAAGAGATATAGATAGACAGACAGACAGATAGATAGATATAGAGGTAGAGATAGATAAATAGATAGATGGATAGATTAGAGATAAAGAGATATAGATAGACAGACAGACAGACAGATAGATAGATATAGAGGTAGAGATAGATAAATAGATAGATGGATAGATTAGAGATAAAGAGATATAGATAGACAGACAGACAGACAGACAGATAGATAGATATAGAGGTAGAGATAGAGGTAGAGATAGATAAATAGATAGATGGATAGATTAGAGATAAAGAGAGATATAGATAGATAGATAGATAGATAGATAGATAGATAGATAGATAGATAGATAGATAGATAGGTAGGTAGGTAGGTAGGTAGGTAGGTAGGTAGGTAGGTGGGTGGGTGGGTGGGTGGGTGGGTGGATGGATGATAGATCCAAATTTTCCTTGACCAGCTCCAGCGATGTTGCGCCCACAGCTCCAGGAGGCAAAGCCATTTTTAAGGGATCCATCCATGAATTTTACCCAAGAGAATCTCCCTTTGTGAGATGGCTGCAAATCCTAAACCAGGGCTGGGGGGGGGGGATTTTTGGTTCCCACCCACCCACCAACCCTACAAGTCCCTCTCCTGCGTCAGGAGGTCAGGACAGGACCGGACGGGCTCCCACGTGCCTCCCCTCCCCACCTCTCTCTTTCCCTGCTCTTAACCAAAAGCGACTTTGGCGCGCACACACACACACAGGGCTCAGCGAGAGATGAAGTCACAAGTTCCTTTAAGGACAGGGAGATTAGAATAGCAATTGCGCCAGACCCACCGCTGCAAAATAATCCAGAGGAAGAAGGGGTGGAAAAGGGGGGGGGAATATGTGTGCCAGCCCCACAGATTGCACACCCAGTCACGGGCCTCCTGCACATTCGCACCCCATGTGTGTGTGGGGGGGGTGTCCAGTCTCTGCCCACCAATGCCATCTGCTCGTCTGCCGTGGCACAGCGTGGCAGAGACAATGACGCAGACACGGCAATGCCGAAAGCATCCCAGGTGGTGGTGGAATTTCTCCCTATGTTGGGGGTGGGTGGGTAAATGCAACACACAATTCTGGTGTGTAAGCGGTTTGTGCCACGTTGCCAGTGTCACTGCACACTCCCGCCACACCATGGGCCACTGCCGTTTTTTATTTCTTTTTTTTCCAATATTTTATTATTTTTTTTTATAGTCACAAATGCTTAATGTAGACAAAAACCAGGCAGATGTTATCATCTTTGGTGGACGTGCCCTAAACTAAAGTCCAAAAAGGTTTTGGTCAAGCCTACATCTACGGTTGGGGAAAATGACTAAAAAAACACATGGATTTTAAGCCGGAATGACTTGTGTGAGGCCTAATTGTAGGAAATTGTGGGAAGGAATGTGTATACTTAACGTGGCACGCGTGTTAACTGCAGCGAGGAATTGTTATTTGCTCAGTGTTGGAAGGATGAAGAATTAGGAGCAGAGGAAGAGATAATTAAGAAAATTTTGGACTGTGCAGAAATGGACAGAGTGACCCTGCAAATGAAGGAGAAAGAAAAGTCAGAATATTTTAGAATATGGGACACATTTTATCAATGGCTAGAAAAAAAACAAGGTAGCGAGAAAGGAGTTTAACGTGTGTTGGTAAACTGAAGGTTGGAAGCCAGACAATACGTTGCTGATAAAAATATTTACATTTCTTTTTCATGTTAATAGTTGAAAAAGCAGCTCTCGGACCTTTCTTGATTGACGGACTGGAGGGAAAGGGAGGGGAAAACATTTTATGCGCATGGGGACACGGACGGACACACACACACACACACACACACACACACACACTGTTTTCTCCATAGGGAGCCCCATTTTCTCCACACGGAGCCCCATTTTTGCCTTACGAAGCCCTGTTTTTGCCACACAGTCCCGTTTTCACCGTACGGAGCCCAGTTTTCACCACACGGAGCCCCGTTTTTGCTGTACGGAATCCCATTTTCACATGGAGCCCCGTTTTCTCCACACGGAACGCCATTTTCACATGGAGCCCCTTTTTCACCGTACGGAGCCCTGTTTTCTCCACACGGAGCCCCGTTTTTGCCATACGGAGCCCCATTTTCTCCACACGGTGCCCTGTTTTCTCCACACGGAGCCCCGTTTTTGCCGTATGGAGCCCCTTTTTCACATGGAGCCCCGTTTTTGCCGTACGGAGCCCCATTTTCTCCACACGGTGCCCTGTTTTCTCCACACGGAGCCCCGTTTTTGCCGTATGGAGCCCCTTTTTCACATGGAGCCCCGTTTTTGCCGTACGGAGCCCCATTTTCACCATCCGGAGCCCCATTTTCTCCACACGGTGCCCCGTTTTTGCTGCACGGAGCCCTGTTTTCTCCACACGGAACCCCGTTTTTGCTGCACAGAGCCCTGTTTTCTCCATACGGAACGCCATTTTCACATGGAGCCCCTTTTTTGCCGTACGGAGCCCTGTTTTCTCCACACGGAGCACCGTTTTTGCCATACGGAGCCCCATTTTTGCCATACGGAGCCCCATTTTCTCCATACGGCACCCTGTTTTCTCCACATGGAGCCCCGTTTTTGCCATACGGAGCCCCATTTTTGCCATACGGAGCCCCATTTTCTCCATACGGCACCCTGTTTTCTCCACACGGAGCCCCGTTTTTGCCATACGGAGCCCCATTTTCTCCACACGGTGCCCTGTTTTCTCCACACGGAGCCCCGTTTTTGCCGTATGGAGCCCCTTTTTCACATGGAGCCCCGTTTTTGCCGTACGGAGCCCCATTTTCACCATGCGGAGCCCCATTTTCTCCACACGGTGCCCCGTTTTTGCTGCACGGAGCCCTGTTTTCTCCACACGGAACCCCGTTTTTGCTGCACAGAGCCCTGTTTTCTCCATACGGAACGCCATTTTCACATGGAGCCCCTTTTTTGCCGTACGGAGCCCTGTTTTCTCCACACGGAGCACCGTTTTTGCCATACGGAGCCCCATTTTTGCCATACGGAGCCCCATTTTCTCCATACGGCACCCTGTTTTCTCCACATGGAGCCCCGTTTTTGCCATACGGAGCCCCATTTTTGCCATACGGAGCCCCATTTTCTCCATACGGCACCCTGTTTTCTCCACACGGAGCCCCGTTTTTGCCATACGGAGCCCCATTTTCTCCACACGGTGCCCTGTTTTCTCCACACGGAGCCCCGTTTTTGCCGTATGGAGCCCCTTTTTCACATGGAGCCCCGTTTTTGCCGTACGGAGCCCCATTTTCACCATGCGGAGCCCCATTTTCTCCACACGGTGCCCCGTTTTTGCTGCACGGAGCCCTGTTT